TTGAAAACAGACAAAGGCTTCCCTTAAAGACTGAGCTCTGAGCGCCTTCTGTACCCTGTGCCACTTCCTAGACTGAGCCTCTGGGCCCCGGTACCCTACCAGGGTTGGTAACGCTTGGGGCATTATTTAGGCACCTTGCTTATGCCTCCTTATCACTGCCTTTTAGCACGGCTGCCGTTTGGTTAACCTTGGAATGAGGTAGAAGGGAACTTTCCGACCTGCTTCACTTCTGGATAACTACTGTCCTGAAGATGCCTCCTGGTCAATGAGGGTCGAGCATGCCGAAAGTGGAGTTTGAAATGATTCCCCCCTTTCAGTCACCATATGCCATGCCTGCCCTTGGCAGCTGTGGAGAATTACAGTTCGATTTCATTTAGGAGGCCCTGAACAAGCCTCTACTTCTTAACGAAGACATCTGCAGGCCAAGCTGGAGGCCCTAAAATTTTAATTTAAGATCAAAGTGACAAAGTAAAATTCCCAACATTTCGGAAGAACTACAAACTGCTGATTCACGGTTCTGAGCTGTGTCTACTTTCCCCAAGCTTTGGATGGCCATGGGGGGCCGACCACTCAGCTTTGGCACCCCCAACCCAAGGACGCCAAGGACAGGGTACAGGGACACTGTAAGAACAAGATCCCCGGTCTGTGCACTGGAGTTCCTTGAAATCTATAGCAAAAAACTGGGCCAGGCGCGGTGGCTCAAGCCTGTAATCCTAGCTCTCTGGGAGGCCGAGGCAGGCGGATCGTTTGAGCTCAGGAGTTCGAAACCAGCCTGAGCAAGAGTTCGAAACCCCGTCTCTACTAAAAATAGAAAGAAATTAATTGGACAACTAAAAATATATATAGAAAAAATTAGCCGGGCATGGTGGCGCATGCCTGTAGTCCCAGCTACTCGGGAGGCTGAGGCAGGAGGATCGCTTGAGCCCAGGAGTTTGAGGTTGCTGTGAGCTAGGCTGACACCACGGCACTCTAGCCCAGGCAACAGAGTGAGACTCTGTCTCAGAAAGAAAAAAAAAAAAAAACTGCATAGCCACAATAAAGTTCTCACACAGTAGTTTTGTAAGAGATGAATTCTGGTTCCCTTTCTCATGCTGGAAGCATACTGAACGGTCCTGATTAGGAAGCTTAAAGAATAGAGCTGTGAACTATCGATGAGAAGATCAATAGTGTACCTAGATGTACACCAGAGCCACATTTTTCCCCTGGAGTCCTTAAAGATACACGTTTGGATGAGTGGGAAAGAGCGGGAAGGAGAAGCTACTGGGAGCAACACTGACAGGTAGCACTAGTACAGTGACAGACTCATCCCAAAGGGCCTTGAGAGGTTGTTGGGTTCACAGACAGTTGTCAGAGCTGGGTAGTGGCAACATAAACATCAAGAATGAAACAGACTACTCCAATTTTACATGAATTGTTAAAAGTGGCAGATGATGTTTCCAAACTGTCATCTGCCAAAACAAAGACCAATTCTAAGCCACAATGTCAGCAGCCAGCTAGCTGACGGGGCAGAAACCCTCAGACTCACTGGCTGACTTGAAGTCGCATGAACTACCCACCCTCCCCAAAGATGTCTTGGGGTGACATTGGGTCACCCAATAATAATTGGGTGACATTGCATTGGAAACATCTTGGAAAATTAGCTAGATCAGAATTTAGAATCACCAGATGGCATCATCTTTCAAGGCCATTTGTTCATGGACCTTGCAGTGGATTGGCCAAGTGATGTCACAGTGCTCCAGGAGACAAAGCAATGAACCCCAAGAGGAAGCTACCATAAAGGGGGGTGAATGGCAGCAAGTAGAAAGAGACCACCAAGCTGGCGCTACAGAACCCAAGGGCAGGTGCCGCTGGAGCAGCAGGGTAGTGAAAAATGAAGGCTGGAAAAGACGTGCCAGGTTCATTAGACTCCCCAGCGGGCTGCACAGGACAGCTTGCTCCAGGACTAGTAAAACGTATTAAAAAACGATAAACGATACCACGCAGAGGCTATGCAAGCCCCCTGGAGAAGTGTAACACGGCCAACACGTAGCCTTCACTTGGAGCTGACAGCTGCAGAGAAGCAAGGGCAAGCGCAAACCATCCAGGGAGACTTCAATCCAAACCCACGGTCCGGCGCACGTGTTTGGAAAGTCCAGCTTGAAAGCCAAGTACAAATGTTAGACTAGATTTCGGTGGGTGGTGGGGCTCTCGGGCTCTTCTGCTGTTACGGACTAGTCCTGCCGTCTCAGGCATAGACAGACAGCTCAGTTCCAAAAATAGCCACTTGTTTCCCTGCCACGTGTCACCCTGATGACAGGCAATTTGATGAATGACATTAACTTCTTTACCCAGATGCAGGACGATCCCGGTGGGCTGCTCCTGGTGGTGGTTGTTTCAGCAGAGAACTATCAGTTCCTTGGGAGCAACTGTGGAAGAAGGGGGCAGCAGAGGCAAAGCAATCTCTTCCTTCCACCTCCAAAAAGATTTACCAGGGGACGTCTGCCAGAGACTGCAGGGATGCCAGAGAGCACGACTCCTCCGTCTCTGCAACATCTACCTGGTTCACAAAGGCCCGGCAACATCTGGCCTCACAAGGGAGAGAAAACCAGACAGCCCACTTCTCCAGGTAGCAGGCTATCCTTCTGGAAGTCCCTTCCTCTGCACGTCCACTCCCATTAACAGAAGAATAAATACGGAAGGAGCCAAATATTGAAAGCAGCACCTCAGTGGGCCAGACACGAGCGATTTCTCAGATCACTTGAGAGGAGCTTTGAAGAGAGTGAGGAGGAGGGAGGATCCTTCGCAGTAACGCTCTCTTGGGGGCTTTTAAATAGGTGAGGCCAGAGGGACTTGCTATGAACTCTCTTGCCTTAGCTCTGCTGAAAGGAGCAAAGCAAACTTGGAAGTACCGTGCTGGGACGCGGGAGCCCAACGGAGAGAAAAACAGAGACCGTCGCATCTTACTGCAAATTAGATCAATTTTAATATCCATATTTAATTTAAACTCATCAAACTGGAAAAAAAAGTTGAAAGGGGCTTGGAAAATAATAATTGGGTGACATTGCTTAAACCCAAATCAGGCACAACATGTTTTCTCAATTTAAAAACACTGCTGTGTATATCGGGTGGGCCAGGGTGGACGGGGGTGTGGAGAGGGGGATGCTGAATAAATCAAGTGAAATTTTAATTTTAAAAAGCAATCAGCATTTCAAGAGATGCCTCCACGTCTGAGGTCCCCGTACCAAACCGACCACAGTTCATTAATAAATTGAAGCCTACCACTGGCAGACTTCAGCATCATACCCCGGAGGAAAACACGGAGATTATTAACTCTGTTCAGCAGGCTGCCTCTGAAGTCAATCAAGGAAAGCAAGCATTTCTCCTCCTCCTCCTCCTCCTTTTTCAAAAACCCCAGCCCAGACTGTTTCTGGTGGTAAACACAGGAACACCCATGCTGTGCAAGGCTTCCAGGAAACACCAGGATGATAAGCAGCAAAATGTCACATCACACTGGGTGGTGGATCCTCAAGTTCCACGTCCAAGGTACTGGTAAAAGAGACAGCTTATTAAGTCAGAACCGAAAACGCAGTCTCTTCCTCCCAGAGAAAGATTAGGTATCTTGGGAGGCGGCATTAACTCTTTCTGGCCACTGAAAAGGACACGTGTATACAGTCACCTGGAAAAATTAACGTGTCTTCCAGAAGTGTCTCCCTTCCTTTCCAGGGATCCCAGCATATGCCCTGACAACCTACTTCCTATAGCTGGATATAACTAATCTTTGAGGGCTATTATGAGCCAGATTTTGATGCTTTTCATCTAATCCCAGAAAATCTGCAGGCTATGCATCATCCTCACCTTACAGATGAGTAAACTGAAGCTGAAACGGAGTAGGTTTGTCCAGAGTTCCTGGGTAGCAAGTTCTCTGCCTGCAAATCCCCCCACTGCAAATCCTTGACTTCATGCTTGACTCCCAGGTTCTTTAAGCAACCAAAGGAACCCCAGAACTCGCACTGGCTTTCGAGTCAGAAATGTTTGAGTTTCAATTCCATACTCACTAGCTATGTGACTGGCTGACAGAAGGGAACATCTGCCCCCGCCTTCTCTGTGTTTCCATGAGTGGACTTCCATGCCACCTCCAAAAAAGGCACGGCCATGGAAGGAACGCTTCTGCAGGACCGCTGAACTGACACTCGGCAGTCGGGGCTGGCTCCTCTCCCTTGCCCTTTGAACTTGTCTGTTTTGGGCGGTGGGATCGATCTCATTCCCTAGCTCCAGGGTGGGGCACACCACCCAAGCCGAGCCAACGAGAGTCATGTCTGGCTTTCGGCTGAAGAAGGGCTCCCTGTCTGAGGTTAAGGTTGCCAAGAGTGACAAAATCCTAGAACTGTTGGTTGCCTTCCTGGCCACCATATAGAGACAGTCTTTCTGAGAATGCCACCAACAAAGGAAAACAGAAAAAGAGAAGAGAGATTCCTGGTATCGTCCAAGCCCATGGATCCAGCCATGCCTAAAGCTAGAACCCCTGGACTTCTCAGTTAAGTGATCCAATAAAACCTATCCTAGAGGGCTGTTCAAGCTGACTTTCCAACTCTTCCGGCCAAGAGTGCTGACAAATACAAGTCCATATTACACAAACGTACCAAGTTTATTTGCACATCACAGCCCTCTAGGCATAACACAACTAGAAAAAAAGTCTAGGTGGTCCCACGGTTTTGATAGGAATGAAAAAAGAGTTGGAGAAACCTAACCAAACAGAAAGATGCTTGTCTGATAAACAGGTAGTCACGATGCCTGCAGGCTGCACACTCAGTCTTCAGGTAACAAGCGTTCGGGGCTGACGGCCCCGGGAACCCACCCAGATGATCGGTGACCATGATGAGGCCCCATAATCCGTATGATACCCGACAGGCCTCTGTATTTGTTGTGCAGAAGTTGCTCACCATCTGGGGCCACGAGCACGATGTTTATTCTCACGGAGGCCAGCCAGGTCTCCTGGAAAAACAGGCTCCCCCCAAACCTACCTGAAGCGCTGGAGACCCGGGACACGTCCTGGGACTGGGTGGAGCGGTTGCGGCTCTGCTGTCGGCGCCGGCCGGAGGCTGACCTGGTGGAGCGCACGTGGACCTCGCTCACTTTGAAGAAAGCCACCATGAAAGGCTGCTTGTCATAAGGGCCGTCTCTGCCCACCAGGCCTGCGGCCCGGGGGTGGATGTGGACTCCTTCAATGCAAACGAAAGCACGCTTCGCTTCATTGCACTAAACCTTATCCCGCAGCTGCACAGTTAAGGGGCACTTCCTGGTCTCCCGAAGTGCTACCCGTAAAGAATGAGCAAGAGGAAGAAAATCCTGCGTTCTCAAACCCGTGCACGGGTTTGAGAGCCCCGTGCACGCGCAGAGCGCAAGCCTCCCCTCAAAGGTACGGGAATCCCACCGAGCAGCCGCGTGAACTCCGGGCGGCCCCGTCTCTAGTCTACTCGCCTGCAGTCGCTTTTGCTTTCTAGCGTGTTTCTTCTCAACCAGCGAGGTGACGCACGCGCGGAACGTGCACAGCCTGAGGGCCCCTGGGGGGCGCGATCGGCAACGGGGACCTTGAGCTGCCACGCTTTGGTGCCGCAGGAGGAATGGGCGCTGGAGGTCCCTCGGCAAACCTGCTCCTCGGGATCTAAAGCGATGCGCCTGCCCCTCTCTGTGTCCTCCTTCTGCCTCCGCCTAGGACGGCTGTCCTCTCACCGTCCCCCTCCGCGCCCTGACCACCCTCTGGGGGGATGTGTCCCCAAGTCCTTTCCAGAATACCTCAGGGAAAGGTTTTGGTTCTCAGTAGCAGTCACGAGGGCACCGTAAACGAGGCCCTCCCGGGGCTGAGAACTTGGCTATCGACCACGGTCTGCCACGACTGCTGCAAAGGGCATGAACGGAAATGGCGACTCGCCGGACTGCGGCGGCGAGCGCGTGGCCACTTACCATCCCGCGTCACCACGCTCAGCTGAAGCCCCATGTTGTGCTGCGGCGTCACGACCCACAGATTGCTAGTGGCCGTGATGTCAAACTCCAGCCAGCCTTCTTCTGAGGCCCACACTACGCGGGTGTCCAACAGAAACAGGTCGGAGTCTCTGCAAGACAGAAGGAACCGCGCGGTGAGCGGCGCCCTGCCCTGCGCCCCACCCCGCCCCGCCGTCTCGGCCTCGGGACACCGAGCGCCCGGGTCGGGTCACGCCCACCTGGGGAGCGCTGTGCACAGACCTGCCGGGCGTGACACCATCCGGGACGTGGGCGTGACACGAGGAGAGACGGGGACATGTGATAAGGCGCTTCCCAGAAATCAGCTTTCGCCTAAACACAGGAGCACCCCTGGAATTCGCCAAAAGCCCTGCTCCTGCTGCTTCTGCCACATCTTTTTTTAGAATTAGGTTAAGTTACGGATAAATGTTATTTTGTGTTTTATTTTAATACTTATTGGATTATTTTATTTATTTGTAATACTATTAGTGAACAGCTTACTTCATGGCTAGTAAACTCTGAACACAGGGAAGAGGGAGGCAGTGAGACAGGGTTAAGGAACTATTAAAATAGGATCCGTGTGAGCATTTACAAGGTTGGGCTTTGCTTTTTTTTTTTAATTAGGACCTCAAAATCTACATGTTAGTTTCTGTGAAATAAGGAGAAACAAGAAGCCACATCACATTTCTGAGTACTCATCCATTCTTTTCTTTTAATTGAGGCCATTAGATGGTCTATAGCGGATGCCAGGTCCTTTTGCACACGGACTGTGTCACCAGGGGTGTGTGTTGAGAGATGCTAAAGTTCGTCCCAGCACAGCTGTGAGCTGTGGCCATGGGGCTCTGAGGCAAAGTCAGAGAGTCCGTTCCTTCCACTGGGTTCCACAGGGAATATTTTTATATTTTTCACAGTTTTCAACCAATGCAACCATCCCAGGGGCTGTGGGAAGGTTTCTTTCTGTTCACCCACATTTCACACTTGTGTCAGGGGACTGTCACCTTCGCACGTTTCAGTGACAACGTGAATCTGAGTTTACATCCCAGGGCCATGCACATGAAATGGCCGGGGATTCCCGTGACAGGGAGGAGAATATCTTGGCCACAGAAAGATTCAAATCTCCCAGTGTGGAAATATTTTGCTGCAGTATCTTACAGAGATAGGAAAATGACTAGAATTAAAAGTACTAAACTTGGCTGGGCGTGGTGTCTCACATCTATTATCCTAGCATTCTGGGAGGCCAAGGCAGGAGGACTGCTTGAGGCCAGGAGTTTGAGACCAGCCTGAGCAAGAACAAGACCTCATCTCTACAAAAAATACAAAAATTAGCCGGGCATGGTGATGTACACCCGTAGTTCCAGATACGCAGGAGGCTGAGGCAGGAGGATGGCTTGAGCCCAGGAGTTTGAGGTTGCTGTGACCTTTGACAACGCCAGTGCATTCTAGCCTGGGTGACAGAGCAAGTCTCCAGAAAAAAAAAAAAAAAGTACTAAACTTAAGAGGAGCATCACGATAATAATAGCACACACCTAAAAAAAAAAAAAAAAAAAGTACTAAACTTAAGAGGAGCATCACGATAATAATAGCACACACCTAAATAAGTTACACAGTGCTTTCATCTACTTCACTTTGCTTGGTCCTTACGACGATCCTAAAAGCTAGGTAGAGTATCATCAGCTCCATTTCGCAGCTGGGGAACACACTCTAATGTGAGGTTAATAGTCACATGGCCAAGGTCTCCAGCTAGTAAGTGCAAGAACCAGGACTCGGGTTTGGATTCAAAGAGTTTCCCATAATGACATGATGACATACTGCCTTTTGAGATTATTACCAAAGACAACCCATGACAAATGAATGAAACTCATCTCTATTCAATCAAATATTTATGAGGCCAGTAAACACCGAGTTAGAATTTTTAGCTTTGTCAGAGGAGGAGCAAACATTTTCCTGCTCTCATGGCTGCTTGGAGTTAGAAGGGAGCTCTATTGTCATCTTTTCCAAGTATAAACAGTAGGTACCGCTAGCAGTCGTTTACTCAGCTGCTTCCCACAGTCTGTGGGGGGCCACGCTCAGGACTGCCACGTTTAAAACACTCTCCAGTGTGGATAGGGCTCCCCCGCAGTGACAAATCACCCCCCATTACTGAGGTAACCACTGGGAGCTGGGAGACAGGGGGTCTTCATGGAAAACAGCACGAGGGGACTACAAGTCCAACGCTTTGAAGTTCAGATGTAAAAAGACATAAATTCTCTTCTGGAAGGCTGTAGAAGACCCTTATCCAGAAATAACACAGACAGTGTGAACAAGCACTGTGGGAAAGTAGCCCCAGACCCAAAGGAAGCACAGGACATATTCGTGTCACAGAGCAGAATGTGGCTGGCACTCTGGCATCAAGACCCAGTGACAGCCAGGCACAGTGGTTCATGCCTATAATCTCAGCACTTTGGGAGGCCAAGGTGGGAGGATCGCTTAAGGCCAGGAGTTTGAGACCAGCCTGGGCAATATAGCAAGACCCCATCTCTACAAAGAATAAAAAAAGTTAGCTGGGCATGGTGGAGCATGCCTGTAGTTCCAGCTACTCAGGAGGCTGAGGTGGGAGGATGGCTTGAGCCCAGGAGTTGGAGGCTGCAGTGAGCTATGATCATGCCTCTGCACTCTAGCCTGGGTGACAGAGTGAGACTCTGCCTCTAAAAAAAAAAAATAAAAGACCCAGTGAGAATTTCAGGGTGTAAGTTTGCCCCAAAGCAAGGACGAGGAGTATACGGGACTACCGCCGAGGATCATCGTTGCTATTTACAGTGATGCCACAGGCACTTAATTCTTAAGGATTTGTAATAAGGATGCAGAGAAATGCTGTCCAAAGCATGAGCACAGCTCTCTAGAAAGAGCCAGGCTGAGTTTTTATTTTTACAGAGCAGGGTTTGTGATAAAGGAAATGGGAGCCTATTCCAAGAGAAAGTGGGGGATGAAACAGAGGCCGTCATCCAAAAAGGAGAAGGAAAGCAGAGAAAACGAGACAGGGGAAGAGGGTGTGAGTTTAAGAGGAAGAACACGAATCAGAAGCTACACTTGGAGCCAGGGTGGAAGAGCACGGATACGAAGGACTAACAATCACGGTGCAGAAGCATCTAAACCTCCAGGGTTGGTGGGGACTGTCTCGCTCCTGACTCGGCTACTGAGTCATGGTGTGGCCCCCAGGAATTCATGTTGTGTCTGTGACAAGCTTTCTCACTGTGCGATGACTTCAGCTCTCACCGCTTAAGAGATCTGTGAGATCAACAAACGCAGTCTAACAGCTGAGCCTCGAAAGACCACCTTGGTGGCCCAGTGGCAGCGAGGCAGTCCTGAACTTAGACGCGTGGCTCTAAGATGCTCGGGGCCTTTGGGAGGGCAGTGAGGTAAAGCACGGACTTCAAATACCTGGACTGAGCAGGGGAGAGGAACAACCAGTATTCACTGTGTGCTTCCAATCCGCAGGCACTACACCGAGGGCCTGTATTCCTCAGGACAGTCAGAGAGGCAAGTCCTAGTATGACGTCTCTCCCACAGGTAAGGACATGGAGCCCTAGAAAGCCTCTCAAAGGCCCATGCGTGTTAAGTGAGGCAACCAGAATTTAACCAGAGCCCAGGCCCTTAGTCATCGTGTATCTAAAAATGTAGTCACGAAACAGACGGGATACAGGCTGAAAATACTGAGCCGGGGCAGGTGTGTGCAGCCCGAGTGGCTGATGGTGGCCGCAGGTGGTGGAACCCCAGCCGCCCGCCCGACCTTGCCCTCCTCTTCCAAGCAGAACGCTCTGTGTGTCTAGCCTTCTTAGTCTCCTGACTCTGTAAAAGCATAGCCTCAAATAAGATGTATCAGATTTTGCCACATAACAAACAAGGAAACCTTTAATTCCCTTCTAAATCTCACTTCGGCAGAGTCGGGATGAGATGTTCACATCTAAAATAAATGTGTCACTGCCGGATAAACAATCCTAGAGTCTGGCCATAATCACCATCAAAACTGGATTATTTGGACCTTCCTACTAAGATGACACACCCTCAAGTTAGCAAACCACGCAAGAAAATCTTAAAACAAGAGAAGATACAATTTTGAATGCATTTATTGACTATTTTGTTCTCAACTAACTCACGGACACCACCAATACATGATGAATAGGCTTCCCATCTTCAAGCACATAACAATGTTATTCTTTCTCAATGTTATTCCAACCCTAAGGCATGATTTTTCTCATATTGTGATCCTCCTGGGCAAATGAAGTTCTTAACAAATTAATAAGCCTAATGAGATTTCCAGGAAATTTCAAAAATTCATCCTGGCGTTAGCATTGACTGATTAGTAAGCCATTCACAAAGACTTACGGAATTGGTGTTTGTGGCAAGATTATCCCTGCGTGGTCCCTCCTGTCACACAGCCTCCAAGGCACCTGCCCAGGTTGGGGCTATGACATTGGCCCGAGAGGCAGAGAACGTCACGGGCAAAGCACGCTGGGTCTCTCTCCTTTGCTCTGGGAGAAGGGCAGGAGGTCCCTGAGCCCCTGGTGCCCAGGTTTGACCCTTCCTGACAAACTGCACACCTGTTAAGGTCACGCTGCCTTAGTCAAAGTACAACTGTGTTTACTACAAACCATTTTTCTAGAAAAATGTCCTTGATCGAGTGGAATTTATACTTTCAAAATAAGCAGACTTATGAAATACCTGATAAGGGGACTCTGTGGTCTTGTCTCTTTATTTCTTCATAACACATTCTTTTGCCATTTACGTGTCTGGAATTGATAAATTAAGATACAAAACAACACTCATACACTGATTAACTGACTTTATGCAATAAGAAAAATTTAATTTGTAAATAGAATGAGAGTAAAATATCAAACATTTTAGAAAATTAGATAGTCATACCCTTGTTTTGTACTTTTCCCTTATGTGAGGTATAACATAGATTATGCTTAAACTTTTATCACCAGAGAAGATAGAAAAGGAATAGTAGATTTGAAAGTAGAGCGCTACAAACTAGGATAAACTGCTGCACAAATATACACGCATGGATTTGAGTAGCAAGGACAAATGAACATTATCATTATTAATATGTAACTGGCTAAGCTTTCATTGATTT